CTTGAACTTGTGATCCTTCTGCCTTACCCTTCTGAGTGCTGGGATTATAGGCATGAACCACCACATCCAGCTTAACAATGTGTTTCTTTACAATGCATTAAAGCCCAAGATCCAGCAATGAGTCTAATACTACTGTAATTTTAAAGTAATGAGAAGTATGTGTGTGTATCTGTGTGTTTGTGTGTGTACTTCTGATGACTGTAATGTGATTTCTATTGGCGACTGAGTCACAAGTGCAGTTAACTACCTCTGTTTGTTGCCTACATTCAAAATGGAACATTTCAATTATGGGTTACGTTACTCAGCTTTCTGTTACTATAATAAGTACCTGAGACAATCATCTTGGAGAGAGGAACGGTTGATGGGCTACGGTTTTGAATCTGTTGGTGCAGTTGCTGTGGGGTCTGTGGTGAGGCAGCACATTATAGAAGCACACATGGTGGAGCAAAACCACTCACCTGTGGCCAGATAAGCAAAAAAGAGGAAGACCACTTTAATTCAGCATTATTGGCAGAAGAAAAAAAAAAAACCCTTGGTCTGACCTCATTCCACCCCCCACCATCAGGAAGCATCACCATTTCCTTGCAAGGTGGCCTTTTGACATTTCCAGACCATGAAAGCCATGGGAAATGCTCCTGTGGCAAATGCAAATCCAGGTCTCCTCACTCCCCCGCCACTGTGCACCACCATCTAGGTGTCCCCTTCAAGGACACACCCCCAATGACCAAAGACCTCCCACTAGGCCCCGCCTCCTAAAGGCTCCACCACCTCCCAATAGCACCACCTTGGGGAGCAAGCCTTTACTCCATGGGCTTTTGCGGGACACTTAAGATCCAAACTATAGCAGAGTTGAGGAAAGAAAATTCATGGCTTTTTCCTCCAGCCTTAGGACGGGCATTTCCAGACCATTCCTCTCTCTTCCTTTAGTCTTACCCCATATCTGGTCTTCTGCCCCCCTGGTGACTGTAAGGGGCCTAATACAGAGCCTGGTACGAGCCTTGGTGATGAGAGTGGACCTGTGGGTTCCCTTTAAATGTACACTTTCCCCAGCTGGGCTGAGCCAGCCGGGCGGTAACCAGATGCTTCCTGAGGATGCACAGGTGTCGGCATGTGGCACAGGGCCTCCTGCTTCCCAGCAGCCATGTGGAGCTGGGCCTGTTCCTGCACAGGAGGTTGTGGGGCTCTGAGGGGACCCAGTTGATGTGGGCGACAGGGCTTCTCAGCAGCCTGTTGAAGATGCTGCCTGGTTGCAAAGCCTGGGCTTTGTGTCCTGGCCCATGAGCTGCTAGCTTCTTCATTCTTTCCCTCTATGGCCCCACGTGGGTATGGCATGTGCACCGCACCCCACCCTGCCACCCTCTGCCCCTGGCCTGTTTAGAAGAAGCTGTCCTACTTGATGAATGGGCCATTTGCTTCCTGCACTGGGGCTGGAGCGGCTGGCTGCCTGGGGAAGGGCTATAATTAGTAGAGAGGAGCGGACAGGGCTGCATGCTGGCATTGATAAATAGTTTTATACTCAGATGGATAAACTGATGTCATCAGAGATGTAAATATCACTTGGAAAGCTTGAAGTTCCTGGGAAGGTTTATGCTGCCCCTTGGAACACTTGCACCAGGCTCCTGTGTTGGCTGTGCTCTGTGTGGAACTACGTGGGGTGTGCCAGTGGGCTGTGGGATAGCAGCATCTTCATCTCACCAGGAGCACTTGGCCTGGGATGGTGGTGCACAGTGGCGGGGGAGTGAGGAGACCTGGATTTGCATTTGCCACAGGAGCGTTTCCCATGGCTTTCATGGTCTGGAAATGTCAAAAGGCCACCTTGCAAGGAAATGGTGATGCTTCCTGATGGTGGGGGGTGGAATGAGGTCAGACCAAGGGTTTTTTTTTTTTTTCTTCTGCCAGTAATGCTGAATTAGAGTGGTTCAGGGGTTCTAGGGAGCTTATAAAACTAGAAATTGCCCTCTGTTGCTGGGGGCCTAGGTCAGTTCTGTCCAAATTGGCGCCAATGACGGCTCTGGGGTTTGGTGAATGGTTTCCAAAGCGGGGCACCCTCATGCATGGGCGCGGCTCGGGCGGGAAGGAGGGATGGAGTGGGGAGATGCCAGGGTCATGTCCTTAGCCTGCTGGGAAGAGGAACCAGCTGTGGAAAGCGTGTGGCATAAATTCTGAAAATACTAAGACGGAATAGTTGTGTGTGTTTAGCGGCAAGCGAGAACCGCACCTTTCATCAAGGTGGAAGATAAAACCCCTCTCTTCTGCCCTCAGGAATGCAAGGTCAGTTGGTGGATATTCGATTCATTCCATGCCTGGGCTCTGAAGACTTCTGTGCCCCATGAGGTTCTTAGTTAATTACCATCCTCAGATCCAATGTAGATGGGTTGCTGGGCTCTCAGCTTGTTCACATTTGGGGTTTAATGAGCAATTCATATGTGGGCTTTTTGCTTTTTTTTTTTGGGAGACAGGGTCCCACTATGTACCCTAGGCTGGCCTGGAACTCACTTTATCTCCAAGACTGGCCTTGAACTCACAATCCTCCTGTCTCACTTACCTCCTGAGTGCCGTGCTGGGATTACAGATGTGCCATCACATCTGACTGGAGCATGGCTAATCAGATACCCTTTTGTTAATCTTTTTCACTCAAAGGTAGGTTTTCTTTCCTGTGGTCACCATCTTCCTGCAGAGGTGTGCATGTGAGCTGCTTTACATTTTAAAATTTACCCAACTAGGTAATTTTGTGGACATCCCTCCAGGCATGGTTTTCCTGATATGGACAACTTGTTAATATGTGGCTGACAGCCGAGTCTGCCGATGCCTTTAGCCCCTCCTGGCCCGTGTGCAGGAGAGGCATTCCTTCTAGGCTGGGGGAATGGGTCTCAGCCATCTTTCCAAAGCAAGGGGAATTATCTTTTCAAGCCAACAGGAACAGCATTTAACCTTGAAATACAGCAGGGCGGCGGGTCCAAGAGAGCTGGTTTCCTAGTAATCCTCTGTCAGTAGTCTTTGTATATTGTAAGCTCCATTTGTGTGACTTCTGGCATCCCTGTCACTTTTCAAAGCTCAGGAGGAAGCAGGCACTTCCCTTCACTCAGGACAGCCTTAGCACTCAGTAGAAGGCCAAGGGGCTCTTCTGTGCGGACACGATGATGCATAGGAGCCTGTTAATGGTCAACAGAAGGTTTGGGTCTATGTAAGTGCAGGCGACCACTCCATGTTCTGGATGATGTATCTAGGATCACTGTACCCTGGGCATATCTTGCCAACACCTTGTCAGTGTCACCCCTCACTTTTCCTAGGCCTTAGCTGACAGCACTATGGCTTCCGGGTCTTCTCCCATGCTGCCTTCAGCTTAGAGCGGAAGTGCAATAATGAAGTGCCCTTTCCCTGGCCTCTGGAATGTGTAGCCCGGAAAGCTGGCATCCTTGGATCTGCGGGAGACTAGGGAGATAGCCTCTGACTCAAACCTGACAACAGACTCTGATTGTAAACACCAACTGGACTTCCCCAATGTCAGGACTGTTGGGGTGCTGGGGATGCCCAAAATACCTGGAAAGCCCCTCCTGGCATGGAGCCTATATGTTCTTGTGGGGAAGGCGAACAAAAAAAGAAAACAAAAGAAAGAATGTAGCATGGTAAATATTAGTAAGTGCAAAGGAGGAAAGTAGGAGAAAGGGAAGGGACGAGGTGTTTCACGGGGGAGGGATTTCTTTCACTTCTTATTTTTTTTGGAGACATGATCTTGCTATGTAGCCCAGTGTGGCTTTGAATTCTCAATCCTCCCACCTCTGCCTCCTGAATGCTGGAATTACAGTTGTGTCACCACCTCACGCAGTAGGACTTTCCACTTTTAAATATAGTGGCCCCAGAGGGACAGAAAGAGGTGGGGGAGTGAGCCACGTGGGTATCAGGAGGTGCATTCCAGGAGGTGGGAACGGCAAAGGCTCTGGGGTGAGGACTTTGGTGTGTTTGACAGCAGTGAAGAACCTGGGTTTTCCTGATGGGAAGTTACAGTGTGTCCTGTGACAGTGTGTACCATGTCTCCACTGTTAGAAAACTTAATAACGAGGTGTTCTACATAAAAATCCCCTTAAAATTCCTCCCATCCCAACCTTCAGCCTTCTATAAGGTCATCCCGAAAGTAAATTCCTTGTTTATGATACTGTTTTGAAATGTCCGTCTCTCTAAACATCCCTAAAATTTCTTCCAGGTGACCCACCTGTCTAATATGTGTGACAATGGCCCTGTGCTTTCAGGTTCCCATCTTTGTTATCTTACTAAAGCCTAGCACAAAGCTGTGGGATGAGCAGGGCAGAAGTGAACTTGTTCACACCCATTTTTCAGATGAGAACACGGATTCTTGTGGTCAATGCCTGTCCAAGACCCAGGATCTGCAAGTGGCAGAGTTAGGACTCAAACCCCGGTTCTCTGACCCTCCAGGCAATGGCCTTTCTCTTGACCCACCAGCACTCTTCTCTCCAGTGGCATTACCACATAGTGTCTCTGTTACTCTCTGGGCGCTGCTATAATATGAAGTACCACAGACCGAGAAGCTTAAGCCATAGACTTTTATTTCCTCACAGTTCTGGAAGTTACAAGTCCAAGATTAAGTTGTTGACAGGGTTGATTTCTTCGGAGGCCTCTCTCCTGGGTTGTAGATGGCTGGTCTTCCTTCTGTGTGGATCTGTGTCATAATCTCTTCCTCTTATAAGGACACCAGTCATATTGGATTAGAGCCATATCAATGACCTCATTTTAACTTAATTACCACTTTAAAGGTCCTAGCTCCAAATATAGTCACATTCTGAGGTACTTGGGGGTTAGGATTGAACAGAGGAATTTGGGGGAATGCAGTTCAGGCCATAGCAGGGTCCCTCATGTGCTGTTCCCTGGGGGAAGCACCCCCCATCCCCCAATGGCAGGTGCTGAGGTCCTGGATGAACTCTTTGAGGAAGATCAGTGGTGGCCCACCACCCTTCTTCTGTCTCACTCCCTGCTCTCTGCTGCAGCTGATCGGAGCCCTGGTCCTGTCTGTGGGGATCTATGCAGAGGTTGAGCGACAGAAGTACAAAACCCTTGAAAGTGCCTTCCTGGCCCCAGCCATCATCCTCATCCTCCTGGGGGTTGTCATGTTCATCGTCTCCTTCATTGGAGTGCTGGCTTCTCTCCGGGACAACTTGTGCCTTCTCCAGGCGGTGAGTCAGCCCTGCCCGGTGGGAGGGGGGAATGGTATTCTTGGGGTCTCCAAGAAAGCCAAGGAGACTGCCCCTGGGCCCTGGGCAGCTTGGGTTTTGCAGTCCTTGTCACAATCCAGCTCCTCCAGAGGGTTTCCTTGATCAGCCATCAGAGCTGGACCTGGAAGTGCCCAAAGACTGATTTGAATACTGTTCTTCTGACCTAAACGCTGTTCATCTGGGCCTCTGGTTGCCATAGGAGAAACCACACTCAGATGAGAACAAGCAATGACCAAGAAGAAGGGGGTGATGAGCTACCAGCTCTTGCAGCTGGGCAGACTTTCTTGTCACCTCCTAGAGGGACTGCCCCTGCCTAGTCTTGTCCTCAGGCTCCCTGTGTGGTCACTGGCAGCCTCAGGCCCACAGAGTCCTTATTACAGCTTTTTAAATTTTTACTTTATTTATTTACTTGTTTTTGTGGAGCTAGGGGTGGAACTCAGGGACTTGTGCATGCGAGGCAAAGTACTCTACCACTGAGCTGCACCCCAGTCCTCCTTGATTCCAGGACATCTTTTCTAGAAATTCTGGCCGGAATCTTAGGACTCTGATGGGCCTGGCCCCATCATGTGCCCATTCTGGGGTCAGGGATGCAGTCAGGCTGACCTACAGAGGATGAAGGGATAACTCCCAAAGCTGGGGCAGCAGGTAGGCAGGTCCTCTCACTCCACACCCATGCGTGTGTGCTTAGCCTCATTGTCTCCCTCATGCAGGAAACCCTCACAATCCTGTGTAAGCAGGGTATTGGTACTGCCTGAGGCTGAAAGTTGCTGGAATCAGTTTGGATGATGCTTGTTCTCTGATAAAGGGCTGGGGTGTATATTCTCTAAGCTTAGACACCCCCTCCCACACTTGGGGCTGTGTGGGAAGCCACTTCTGTGGGGTTCTGGGGGGGAGCTGGAAATACTGCCTACCCGTCCCTCAGGCGGGCCTGTCCCCTCTGGCTGTGCTGGAGTGGGGCCCAGATCTCCAGTTGGTGGTGGTGGGGAAGGGCATGCTGTCCACCCAGACCCTGATGAGGACCCCTGGGACAGACAGCTGAGTCACTCTTCCTGCCCCCTGGCTCCAGAGACGGGCTTTCCCCGAGGCGTAGCTGTCACATCCTGCATTCTCAAGGAGGAAGCGCAGTCACAGAGGCCACTCTCTCTGTTGTGCCTGGTCTCAGAGCAGATGATGTGTCCCTGTGTCCCACACATCCTTGACCCTCTCCAGGCCAATCTCTGAATTTTGTTTTACAGTTTATGTTCATCCTCGGGATCTGCCTCATTATGGAGCTCATTGGTGGCGTGGTGGCCTTGATCTTCCGAAACCAGGTGGGCCTCTGGGTCCATTATTGGCCACGTGTACCTGGCACCCACTGTGTTTGCCCCAAGCTGTAAACAAGGGGATGCAGTGAGCAAGGCAGATAATCTCCTTGGAGTTCCTTCCCTCTCCGCTGGGGGAGAGGGGCACTGAACAAGTGAACCAGCGAGTAAGAGAATGAAGCAGGTGACTTGCGAGAGCCTGGGCGGAGTGTGGGGATGGTGAGGGACAACAAAAAGGGGCCAGTTGGGTGGGTCCAGACAGAGGGGGCCACTAAGCAGGGATGGGATAGGTGGAGGCTGCCTGGCTGGTAGGGTAAGTGATGGGGGAAGGAATGGAAGACAAAGTTGGAGGCTGGCCTGGTTTCTTGTCTGTTCTCATAGCCCATGAGTTAGGAGCTCCGGATGCTTTTGAAAGGCAGCAGAAGCCTTTGGAGAGTTTTATGTGGGGAAGGGATGTGACCCGATGTACATTTTACTGGCTTCCAGGTGGAGACTAGGTGGTAGGAAAGCAAGGGTGACATGGGAGAATAGCTAGGAGGCTGCCAGTGTCAAAGGAAGAAGGGACAGTGACTTGGGCCAAGGTGGGGGCAGTGGGCTGAGGTGATGAGATTTGGTATATGTTTTGGACTGTTGTGCTGGGTACAGGAGGAAGGGAAGAGACAGGTTGAAAGGGTGGTGTCTAACACCCCAACTTTGCAGAATGAGGGTTCTACCGAGCTGGAAAGGTCTGGTGGCTCCTGGTCTCCAGCTCCTTCATTGCAGTCCAGATGCATGTGCCTCAACCAGCTATCAGACCTCAGGAGGTCTCTTAACCTCTCTGATCCTTAGGGATTATGATTCCTAGCTCACGGGGTGAGGACTGGCTAAAAGAATGAATATGGATCTGGGCACGATGTCACTCATTTGTGATCCCAGCTACTTGGGAAGCAGAGATAGGAGGGTCATGGTTCGAGGCCAGCCTGTGCAAAAGTTAGCAAGAGCCTATCTTGAAAACATGTCGAGTGTCGATGATACATGTTTATGGTCCCAGCTACCCAGGAGGTGGAGGTAGGAGGATTGAGGTCTGAGGCCATCTGAGGCAAGGTTAGTGTGGGATTCTCTCTGAAAAACAAATGAAAGGACTGGAGGCGTGGCTCAAATGGTAGGGCGCTTGCTGAGCCCAGAGTTCCATAAGAACTGACTTCCCACTCGGCTCTGTCTTCCTTCCAGTAATCCTCCTTTGTCTTGTCTTCCTCCTGCTTCCTTGTCATAGGTAGGACTTGGGCAGGGCACACGTGCAAAAGTCCTCCCCTGTCCCTGCCTGCCCACCCCAGATGGCTTGGTTCCTGGCTTTTCAGTTGCTATTGGGACAGTGCATCTGGGTTGTGGCCAAGTCATCTTTCTTGTTGGAAGTTGAGCCCAAGGCAGCAGTGGCTGCTCCAGACCCTGGTCTGATCCCTGCTGTGTTCTCCGTGGGTGGGAGCAGGTGGGAACAGGAACCACACATACTCTGCTGGGACTTCCTGCAGTGGGATCCAAACACTGGCAAAGCTACTCCCCTGGGATTGGACTATGAGCACATGATAAAAGCGAGAGCACACAAGGGAGGGGTGAGGATAGGTATGACACCTAAAAAACTAGCTAGCATTTGTTGCCCTTAACGCAGAGAAACTAAAGCAGATACCTTAAAGCAACTGAGGCCAATAGGAAAAGGGGAACAGGTACTAGAGAAAAGGTTAGATCAAAAAGAATTAACCTAGAAGGTAACACCCATGCACAGGAAATCAATGTGAGTCAATGCCCTGTATAGCTATCCTTATCTCAACCAGCAAAAACCCTTGTTCCTTCCTATTATTGCTTATACTCTCTCTACAACAAAATTAGAAATAAGGGCAAAATAGTTTCTGCTGGGTATTGAAGGGGGGGAGAGGGAGGGGGCGGAGTGGGTGGTAAGGGAGGGGGTGGGGGCAGGGGGGGAGAAATGAACCAAGCCTTGTATGCACATATGAATAATAAAAGAAAAATGAAAAAAATATATATAAACTTAATTAAAAAAAAAAAAAAGCTACTCCCCTGGGACCCCAGGGTCTGCTTCCTGTTGGGTGAGCCCTGGGGTTGTAGGGGGTGATTCCCATTATATTCCCATTATATTGGTGGAATATCTAGGTACAGAAAGGTTAAGAGGCCCCTCCAAGAGCACACAGCAAGGCAGAAGCAGCTCTGAGCTACTTCCCAACCTATTTTGCTACCTGCTCCTCCCTTTTCCTCTTTTCTAGTTTTTAAGCTAATCTGCTGCAAGCTGGCAGGTGCAGGCTACTGTTTTGTTTTGTTTTTTTCCCCAGAAGTCTTTAGGGAGAGCTGTTTAGTCCATTTACTCAGGGGATGCTCTGTGCAGCCACCAGGGTCCCAGCTGGCCTTGCAGGGGTTCCAGGTTAGTGCTTCCTGGCTGGAGCCCAGGGCCAGCTTGTGGTCAGCAGCATCCATGGCCATCATAAATGGTCCCCTCCTAGGCGAGCAGAGCTTCACCAAGGTCATCAGATCTGTCATTTTCCAGGGCTTCATAAGTCAACAAGAACTACCACATCACCTCCTCCTTTCTTTTTTCTTTTTTTTTTTTTTTGTTTTTAGTATTGGGGTTTGAACTCAGGGCCTCACACTTGCTAGGCAGGCACTCTACTACTTCAGCCATTCCGCCAGTCCTGTCTCCTTCTTTCAAGTGAGGGAGCTGAGCCAAGACAAAGGCCATGGCCTCAGAAGCCTCCTGGGACCCTCAGTCCTCACGGCTCAGAAGCCTCAGACCTGGATCAGGGATGAGAATTTTAGTTATCCCTGCACCCTATGGGTGCCATGAAGTGTGTCCCTTCTTGGACGGGCTGTCTCCTGACAGGGGTCTTGGTGTGCTGACTGGGAAGAGGCTCTCAGCTGTGTGGAGGACTGGGCTATGATGTCTGTAGGAAAGAACAAACTCAAATTCAGTTTCTCCTACTGTACATTTACAGCCCAGTCACTGCTGCAATCCCCAAGTGTGTGTGTGTGTGTGTGTGTGTGTGTGTGTGTGTGTGTGTGTGTGTGTAGTCCCACATGGCAAGCAGGCAATCCATTCTGCAGCAGACCAGCTGGGTGTCCTCTAATTCAGCTAAACTGTGACACTGTCTACCTGGAAACAGGTGGAGGGCTGAGCCCCCAGGACAGCCCCCTCCCTTTTGAATGCCAATCACCAGCTCCAGTTTGCTATACCTGGGTTTCTACCTAACTGGCTGTATCTGGGGATTCTCATAACCCTCCTCCAGTTCAGTTAATTGCTCGAGGGGCTCACAGAACTCAGGGAAACACTTGTGTCCCAGTTTATTATAAAGGACACAGAAGAGAGGCACAGGAAGAGGTATGGGAGAAGGGGTGCAGAGCTTCCAGTCCCTCTTGGGGATCACCTCCCTTGGGGAACTTCCACACAGTCAGCCCTCCGAAAGCCCTGTGAACTCTGACCTTTTGGGTTTTATAGAGAACTCATTGTGCAGGCATGATTGCTAATAGACTGGGTAGGGAAGCCAGCAAAGCCTGCCTGTCCAGATTCCTCAGCATTCCTCCCTCATGGGGATAGGACAGGACCCTCCGGAATGAGGAGGGTCTTATGACTATGACCAGATAAGGGGTGGTCAGAGCAGAGCTCTATGGACTGCTAAAAGTGGGGTAAGAGTACAGTTTGTATGGCCTGCCTTGGGGAGGGAGTTATGAGCTAGGAATTGTGGGTGGAAATGTGTGTTTGTGTGTTAGTACACAGTATCAGATACTGATAACACACAATTTAAAAAATGTTCAAACAGGGTACAAAATTATAAATGCAGTAAGATCTTCACAAGGAATGCAGTAGGCCTGGAAAAAGACCAGGGATAAGATGAGGATGATTTTTTTCCCCTCTCCTTTATATTTTTTTTCCCTAGTTCTCATCTTTTCTTTTTTTATAGTCAAGAGGAAAAATGCCATATTAAAAAAATGTCCCTTGCAATGCTAATGCAATGTGATTTTGTAAAACAAGAGACAGGCCAGTGTTGAGGTCAGGGAAGGAGTGGCCTGACTGCTGATGGTAGAAAGGGGCTGTGCAGGTAGAAATAGTAAATAGCGATCAAGGTCAGCTTCCAGGAGGAGGAAAGTTCCCAAGTCCATCATTTCTTCATCAAGGAAAGACGGATTTCTCTGAACCACAATATAGCACCACAGGCTACCTGTTAACCCCAAGAATCCACTTGTGACAAATGAGAACACATCATCGGGCTAAAGATTTCATGCTGAGTTCTCTGGGAGGTGCTAGACCTTGGCCAAGGAAAAATTCTCTAATAGCCCCTGAGCTGGGTGAGGCTTCTGCTGCCAGGCAGGACCCAGCAGTCAGAGTGAAGTGGCTTCTCTGTTTATGTGGGTGAGCAGCCTACTCTGGAGAGCCAGCACAGAGCAGGGAGCAGCAGGAATACGTGAGGTGACTTGACCCCACAGTGGGAGTAGGGTCTGAGTGACCCATACCTGTCTGGTTCTCCTTCTCTCGACACCTCCTGTCATCCCTAGCCTGATCTGAGGCTGCTTGTGAGTCTGTCCATGGTGTTGGAGGTAGGTAGAGCTGAACAGAGATCCCTGCAGGCTGTGGGCTATAGCTGGTATGCTTGACCTCCTTCCCTATGTCTCCACCAGCAGGACAGGTGGGGTGGGTGGCCTCTTTCTTGGTCTTGACCAGAGGGTGCTGTGGTTGTTCCTGACGCCAGGCAAATGGTGGGGAACTCCAGCCTGGTTGTCTTTTTTTTTTGGCTCTGGCACTGGCTGGTCTGGGCACACCTTGAGGTCAGGAGCAGGAGAGAGCAAGTGCACCTGAGCCTGTGGATCCTGCTCTAGAGCCACACTGCTAGTGGCTGCAGAGGTAGAGAAGGTTCTGCAGTGGCCTGTCCAGACCCCCACAGCACGTCAGGGCCACTGGGTACTGGAGACTAGAGCCCCAGTGTCCTGTGACCCTGGCCTGGTCTGAGGAAGGCTCTGGCAAATAGTCGCAAAGAACCTTATAGCCTTGACTCCTGGGAATTCTCTTTGACTCTTGGTTGCCAGATTGGGCCTCTATCTGGGCTGGGGCAGAGGCTGGCATCTGGGGTAATGAGGAGAGTCCCACCTCCTAGAGGGACTGGGAAGGCCAAGCGATGACAGCTCAGCAGAGGCACAAAAAGGAAGGAAGAAGTCCTGGTTGGGCATCCCTCCTCTGAGTCCCAAGACCCCGCTGGTCTTGGTACAGCTGTGCTGCCAGAGGCCAGGCTTCCAGCCTGGGGTCTTGGGAGCTGCCAGGGAAGCAATGGAAGCCTCTGTCCGTCCATCAGGGTCCCAGGGTGGCTCCATCCCCAGAGGGACCTGAGTCCTTGTACCGCCAGCCCATGGGAGGCTCCAGAACCCTGTGAGGGGAGCTGTGCAACAGGCCCCAGCCCCTTTGAGTCCTCCTGCATTGAAAGCATAGGAGCTCTTCAGGGATGGTACTGCTGAGGCCTCAGAGAGCTGGAAACTGGCTCTGAAAGAAAAATCCAGGAAGCACCATTCTTTATCTGGTGGCTTAAACAACATGCTGGAAATCCTATGGCTTTGGTGTTTGCTTTCTCTTGAGTTCATTTAGCCTGGGCCACATGACCCTCCGAGGACTGCCAGCGCTGGTGAAAGGTGGTGTTCTCGTCCTTTTGGGAACTGCCCCTGCTGGTGTGACTTGGTTTAGAGCTGGGCACCAGGGCACTGGTGTGATTGACCTCTGGGAGTGACAGCAGAAGCAGTTTCCCCTTCCCTGCCCTCTCCCCCAGGGCCCTGACTCTGACTGGCCCTCTGAGTCCCATAGAATATGACTTTACACTTAGCAAATGGTGTGACCTGCCAGCCCATGGGGATTTGTCACTCAGCCTTACCTTTCCAGCAGCCACAGCACAGCACAGCACAGGAACTACCTCAGTGTCCTACTTGTCTCCCTGGGAAACATGCATGCACACACACGAATACACATGCACATATGCACACACACGCACATGTGTATAGTGCCAGAAATCACACGCTCATAAGAGCCAGCAGGACCCAAAGAGCTCTGTCATGGGATCTGTGACAGCTGCTGTGTATAGCCAAGGGCCATCTGTTCCTCCTGCCCCTCCTGTTCTGAGAGGTGTCTCAGGCCTCCAGCGGGGCCTCCCTTCCTCACGGGGGCCCTGCTCCACCTCGCATATGGAAGGCTGATTCTTACACAGCCTCCTTTGGAGTTAGTGCCCACCTGTGGAAATGCTTGAGGACTAGGATGTTTTGGGGAGAGGATCTGGGGTGCACTGCAGGAAAGGAGGAGACCCCTTCCCCACAGGCCGCCAGCCTTTCCCCAGCTGCAGTCTTCCTCCTGCCCTCATCCTGCCCTGTGGCCAGTGCTGGGGGAAGTAACCCTGTGGAGGTTACTGTGGAAGTGGGCCAGGACTGTGTCTCTAGTGCCTTGAGAGTGGAAGGAAGCAGTCCAGCATCACATTCTAACCCTCAGAGTCCTAGCATGTCTCTGACCCTGGTGTCACCCAGCATCCTGCTCAGCCAAGAGCCCCAGCAACGTGTCAGTCAGTACTGTGAGCTCATTCCTCTGCCCTGCCTCAAGTGGCAGACTGACCCCACCCTGGTATCCTGTTTCTTAGGCATCTCCTACCACACCCCAGCCAGCTGGCCTGTCCCTTCTTCACCCAGAGGCACAGCCACCAGAGGGTAGAAAGGCTCTGCAGTCTCTGGGAACAATGGGGCTGAGGCCAGGCAGGTCCTTGCTCTGCCCAGGCCATGTGGCTGGCAGGCAGCTGGTCCATCCAGCCCCTGCCCTGGAGCTAGTGCCAGACCTGTGGGCCAAGACTGTGGGCCGGTGAGTTCAGAGCCTGTCACAGAAGGCGGGTCGTCTCTCTTCCCAAGCCCAATGGCCAGGCTTTCCCGGGCCACGTCTGCTCCAGAGCTGCCTTCACTCCTTAGCAGTGACTTTGCCTTTGGGAGCACTAAGTCACTCTCTGTCACTCCTTTGGCTTTGCGCAGACTCAGGAGGAGGTGGCCATCGTGTGGTTTGGTCCTCTCTTCCTGATACTGAAAACAGTTTGTAGAGAGGACCCCAATCTGAACTTGACATTTTTAGCTTCGTACCTTGAAGAGTGTCAGATTAGGAGTCTGACACCTTGGTTTCAGCCTCTCTGCCAGTGGCCAGCTGGGTGACCTTGCACATGTCACTTTGTGCTCAGACTGCATCTGTGAGGGTAGCCCCAGGACATCCAGAGGCTGCCTCCAAGAGCTGGGGCCTCAGTTTCCCTTGGGATTGCATCTTTCACTAATGACATTGGTAGGTGTGAAATATTTGTTCCTCCTCCCTCTGTCCCTCCCCTCCTCCCTTCCTCCCTTCTTTCCTGCCTTCCTCCCACCTTCCCTCTCTTCTTTTCTTTCTTTAGTGATATTGGGGTTTGAATTCAGGGTGTCAAGCTTATTAGGTGAACGCTCTACCACTTGAGCCACGCCCCCCCCAAGCCCATTTTTTGCTTTAGTTATTTTTTCAGGTAGGGTCTCGGGTTTTTGCCCAAGGCTGGCCTCAGACCATGATCCTCCTACCTATGCCTCCTGTGCATCTGGGATGACAGGTGGATGCCACCACATCTGGCTTGTTGGTTGAGATGGGGGGGTCTCACTAACTTTTTGCTGGGACTGGCCTTGAGTGGTGATCCTCTCAAATCTCCAGCTCCCAAGTAGCCGGGATTAGAGGCATAGGCCACTGTGCTCAGCGTCTGCTAAACACTTTTGTAGCTTTAATTTGATTTAACTTCATAACGTCCCCATGAGGCAGAGTATTTGCCTCCCAATTGCTGGTGAGAGCATGGAGGCTTAGAAGTTAAGAGAAGTGGCTGAGGCCTGTGGCTACAAGGTCTTTGCCAGCAAGGCCTTTGCTCTTGACTATGAGGCTTGACAACCCCTCTCAGCTATCTTTGATCCTCAGATCTGGAAGTTATCTCGAAGATAGGCCTCCAGGGTTGGTTCACAAGGGGACAATTGAGGTCCACTGAGGGGAAGTAAGCTGTGAGGGGGCTTGAAACCCAGACTCTGCTGTCCCAGTGTACCCCAGGGTACTGCCCCCTGGGAATTGTCTGGCTCTTCTCTATGGCACCAGAGCCAAGAATGCTCCTTTGTCCCCGGTTTCTGCTGGTACTCAGCCTCTGCTCTGAAAGCTCTGATTGTCATAGTGAGTGTGGAGCTGGGCTGCCTACACTCCTGCCCCCACCCCTTCCCGCTGTGGGGCCTTTTGTGCTCCCAGATCTCAGCACAACAGCCAGGCTGTTGATACAGAAAGCCCAGCGTGACTGGGAGAGGGCGGCATGCCAGTGCCCTTCCCTGTGGGTTTGTCCTTGCCCAGCCTGGGAGGGGGACTGGTTGGTCCATGGGTCAAGACACTGAGTGATGAGTGAGGCCCATGCAGGAAGTCAGGAAACTTGAGTCCCAGTCCTGGCCAGGGCCCCAACCAGCCTGCACTGTGACCCAGGGCAATTCTGCCTACCTAGTTCTGCTCTTCTTTCCCTGCCCCACAGATCCTCTTTCCCTGGGGGTCTCAATTTCCTTCTCTATAAGATGAAGTTGGAGGGTCAGGTGCAGTGGCTCATGCCTGTAATCCCAGCTATGAGGAAGGCAGAAATGGGAGTATTGAGGTTCAAGACCAGCTTGGGAAAAAAGTTAGACCTCCATTTCAATCAGTAAGCTGGGCATCGTGGTACCCACCTGTGATCCCAGTTACAAAGGAGGCAGAGGTAAAAGGATTGTGGTCTAAGGCTGGCTCTGAAAAGCAAGACCATACCTGAAAAATAAACTTAAGCAAAAGAGGGTGGGGTGTGGCTCAAGTGGTAGAGTGCTTGCTTACCAAGTACAGGCCCTGAGTTCAAATTCCAGTACTGCTAAAGAGGTTGAATGGTGGAAGAATGGTGGTGGTGGACTGGAGGACAAAGGGAATATTCCAGTTGAGGCTTCTCCCTGGGTAGGGGAGAGAGCACAGGCTGAGAACTGGGATGGGGTCTGCTTCAGAGCCAGGTGCCCCAGGCAGGGACCTGGCCTCTCAGGGCATGGACTGATGACCTGTAAGGGAAATGGGGGAAATTACTCCTGCTTGGGCATAGCAGAGGAGCTTAGGTGTCAGCTGCGTATTGGAGACCTGAGGAGGGCACATAAACAGGGAGGTCACAGGTGTCCCAGGCAGGGAATGTAGGGAAGCACTCCACATAGGTGGGTGGGGGCTGCCAGGCACGCGGTGCTCTGTGCCAATCTGGACTTCCAGAAAACCTTGATTGGCCTCTGGTGCGTGGTCCTTTTTTCTTGGTAAATTCTTCTTCTTCACAGACCATTGACTTTCTGAATGAAAACATCCGGAAGGGACTTGAGAACTACTATGACGATCTGGACTTCAAAAACATCATGGACTTTGTTCAGAAGCAGGTGAGCCTGGGACCTGGGCTCAGAGGTATGCCTCAGGACCCTTGCCCTCCATTCGGGCCCTGCTCAGGAGGGTGGGGGTGAAGGGTCAGGTGACTTTCCTCCCATCCCCAAAGCAGATGGCTGGCCAAGTTGGGAGGGAAGGGTGGGTCATGAATAATCCAGCAAGGATGGGGGAATTGGAGCCTGTCATCAGTCAGTCTGCTCCCATGCCTGGCCCAGCTCTCCCAGTTACATGTCCTTCCTGCCCCCCCCCAAAAAAAAATTCGCCTACAACAAAGCAGGGTGTAGCTACCAGCCACCTTGCAGGGCCCCAGGGAGCACCTCCCATGGGCAGGGATCCTCCTTTCTTGGGACAGACTGACCTCCTCCCTGGTCCCAAGTCTGCTCTGCTGAGTCCCTAATACTGGGAGCTAAACCTGATGGGGCACAGAATAAGACTCCTTTCTTCCCTCCACAACACTTCCTTGAAGGTAGTTATGATCCTGTGTCCTGCATCTCTTGGTGCCATAGTGATAGCAGTTACAGGGCCAGCCCCTGTCCTCCATCTCTTTGCTGTCCATCTCCTTCTGTCCCAAGGCTCAGGCTCCTGTGTGCGTGAGAGGGATGGTCATTGTCCCTCCCCTTGGCATTGACTCAGGAGACACGCTCAGAACCAGACAGGGTGGGCTCATTTCACACTCCCCTGGGTGGGGACAGTGGAGTTTGAGGACCATGGCAGCACCTTCTGAAATATGATCTTGGAGGATCAATGGGCCCAGTCCCCTGTGCTAGCCCTCAGTGGAGACTGCTTCTCACCACACCCAGCTTGGCTCCCAGCTTCTCTGTAGGCAGAACAGGTGCAGCCAGTGGGAGGCCCTTTTCTGCCAGGAATGTGTCTGCCAGCACTGACTCCGGGTAGAGCAAGATGTTTTTATTGGAACCAGCCTCTAGCTGGCATGGAGATTTCATTTCCCTGGGGTGGGGGAAGGGGTGACTAATGCTCCCACTTGCTTGGTGTTGGTCGCACAGCCTCTCATAATCACAACCCAGCTGTGCAAAGAGGCTGCTGTCCCTCCTACTTTACAGATAAGATTAGCTGAGGCCCAGAGAGGCTGTTAGCTTGCCTGCAGGCACACAGCTAGGAATGTTGGTGTGAGGGTTGGAGTACAGGTCTGTCTGGTTGCAAAACAAATGCCCTTGCACTGTGCTGCAGACTGGCACTTCCAGGTCCTGAGACCTGATGACCTGAGGGCACTGTGGAAAGTCCATAAAGTGTCAGGCTGTGCTTCTAACAGCACTCCCTGCTGTCTCCTCACTGCTCCTGGAATACAAGCCCAGCTTCCAACTCTGGTTGATTGGAACTTATTTTTTAATTTAAAAAATTTTTTGGGGGCGGTTTTTGAACTCAGAGCCTCACAGTTGCTAGGCAGGTGCTCTACCACTTGAGCCACACAATCAGCCTTTTTGCTTTAGTCATTTTTCAAGTGGATCTCACACTTTTGCCTGGGTCTAGCCTCAGAACTCAGTCCTCTTACTTTTGCCTTCTGCATAGCTAGGAAGATAGGTGTTGCCTTGCTTGTTCTTTCACTAGGGTCTTGCTAACTTTTTGCTGGGCTGGCCTTGAACTGTGATCCTCTTATGCCTGCCTCTAAAACTAGCTGGGATTACAGGTGTGAGCTACCATTCCCAGCCCTGATGGCCTTCTTGACCTTATCACCTCTACTGTTAATCACAGCCCTCCAGACATGCCTGCCTTTGTGCTGGCTGTTGAAATACAGGCTTTTTTTTTTTTTTTAAGTGGGGCTTTTGCACATATATCTTTTTCTTGTTCATGTTTCAGATGAAATGGCTCCTCCTTAGAGTAGTCTTTCCTGACCGCCCAACCAAGGAACCCTGTTCTTTCCCCTGTGTCTCCACGTCTGGGCACCCAACACCCCTTCTGGCCTTTTCTCTTAGCACTTACTCTGCCTCCCTCACTATTTTAGCTCACTTTTGTCTGTCCAGAACCCAGGATGGGATCAGCACATCCTGGCGCCTCCATAGAACTGCTCACAGCTGCCCCCAGGAACTGGCGCTGGTGTGGGGAGGAGAAGTGGGAGTGCGAAGCTAAGGGGAGAGCCTGGGGCAGATGTGTGTGCCCTCAAGTCAGCATGAGCGGGGCCTTCACAGAATCTGGTCTCTGACACCACAAAGTCCATCTCCAGCTTCCCCCTGCCCTGGGGGCAGAAAGACAAAGGAGGTGCACCCCATTGTGAGGGAGGCACTTTGCTCCTGGCGTCTGGTCACCACCCTGATAGCCACTGGAAGCAGTGTCTATCCTGCCTCTCCAGGGCAGTTGCTCACCACCTCCTGGATGACCATGCCACTCTTGACAGGTCTGACCTGATTGTATACAACCTCACAGGCCCCCTGCACCCCACTCGCTAATAAACACATTGCGTCCTGGCAGGGCCCTTCCTGCCTCCAGACCAGGGCCTCGTGATGACGGTGGCTCCAGCTTCTCTCTCCTGCTTATTTTTCTTCTCAGTTCAAGTGCTGTGGCGGGGAAGACTACCGAGATTGGAGCAAAAACCAGTACCACGACTGTAGCGCCCCCGGGCCTCTAGCCTGTGGAGTGCCCTACACCTGCTGCATCAGGAACACGGTAGCTGCACTGCAGGGGTGGGCACAGGGGGGCTACCAGCCAGTCAAGTGCCACTCATCTCTCTGCCCAAGCTGACCATGTGCGATGCAGGTGCTGGGGTGGAGGGGAGGTGGTGGCTGCAGCCAAGGCTTTCCTGAGCCCCATGGAAGAACTCCTGTAAGGGGGCACCTGGTGGGAGGCCTCATCTCTGTGAGTGTGGCATCTACTGAGCATGTACAGGCCTGGCCCAGGCTCTTGGTTGCATTAACTCAGCCCTTACAATAGCTCTGAAAGTTAGGAACTGTTACTGTACCTACTTTATAGATGAGGAAATGGAGGCACTGAAATGTAGGTGTCTTGCCCAAGGTTGGCAGGGCTGGGATGAAATGCAGGCAGCTGTTGCACAGCCACTTTCTGGAGTCCTGTGCCAGCCAGGAGAGTGTCAGAAGGTGCTCAGTGGGGCAGCCAGCTCTGCAGCATTGCAGGCAGAATGGGACCTGGGCTTTGGGTGTTTCCAGGGACTTTGGCCTTGAGGTCCTGGTGAGCATCTGAAATGGAGCACTTGGTGACATAAATGTCAGCCTCCGTCTCTCCCCAGCACCAGCCTCTTAGATGTCACCTCCCGAGTCACTTGGGATGCTGAGCTGTGTGGTCACCACCCTCTCAATCCTGGTGTGTCACTAATGCATGCAGGAACTGTCTGTTTCTGGGTTGCAATGGAACAGAAAGCTTTGTGATTACTTATGCTCTGAGCAGTCATGGAAATTCTCCCTGTGACATCTGCACTTCCCAATGCCCACTGCCCCAGTCTATAAGCTGAGCAGCTGTGGGCAGGGTCCTCGCCCAGGAGTAGGGACAGTGCCGAGGGTGTTTATCCTGAGAAGGGCTGGGCCAGAGGAGCTTGGGTCTGGGAATCTCACCTGCTGTTTTAGGGTAGCATTCTAGGCAGAGGGCTACTGTGGAGAGGCCCCAGTTTCTCAGAGGACTACAGTGGGAACCTGAACTCCACCCAGGGTGGTGGCACAAGTAGGTCCACTCTGAAGTATGGGAGCCCAACTTGTATTTGTGCAGTCATTCATTCAGCAAATATCGGTTAAGGACCTTCGTTATGCCAGGCACATTGCAAGTTCTGGGGTACAGCAGATGCACGCAGATGTCTCTGCCTGCATTGAAATGATAGTATAGTGGGGAAAGTGAAAAACAAAACAAGTAAAAGATAGTGTGTCACAAGGTGGTGAATGCTAAGGAGGAAAAAAGAGGCATGGGCAACTGTGATTTTTAGATTTGGAGAGTCTGTGTTTTTAGATTTGAATAAAACCCTGAAGGAAGTTGGGGGTGAGTCGGGTGTCTGGGGGAGGAGCATCCCTGGCAGAGAGAATGGCAAATGCAAAGGCCCTGGGATGGGAATTGCCCTGGCATGTCTGAGAAGCAACACAGAGACCAATGTGGCTGGAACAGACTGAGCACAAGGGAGGATGGTGGGAGGTGCATTTTGGGAGGCCATGGGCACCTTAAAAGCCAGCAGCTTTTAAGAACTTTTAAGCTTTTAGGAACTTGGGTGTTCCCTAGAGTGGTCCAAGGTCATCTCCTGGAGAGAGAGCAGACCTCCTTCCTTGCCTTCCCAGGAACTGAGGTTCTGCACAGTGTGACCTCAGCTAGTGCTGTTCCGCGTGCCAGGCCTGTGACACGTGCCTCCCATGTGAACCTCACTTTATTTCCAAACAGCCCACTTGGTGGGTTCACTGACCCCCCTCATGCCAGAGGACTCGTTCTTTCATGCTTTTCAATCGTTCTTCGTGTTTACTGAGTGCCACTGTGGGCCAGTGCCTTGGCAGCTGCCAGAGGTTAGTGCAGATCAGGGTGAGGTCCCAGGAAGCCAGACACTGAAAGCCATGCTTCTGCTTTGTGCTCTCCCTGTCATCGCTGGCCTGTGCTCCTGAGCCCTGTGGAGCATTCACTCAGTGGGGCTGCTGGCTTTGGTCACAGGCTGGACCTGAAATCTGCCTCACCTTGTGGAGGGCCAAGACCACACAGGGCACAGGCAGCGATGGAAGGAGCCCCTGGCAGGCTGTTCTCAGGGGCCACCTGGGAAAGGGATTTGATTGGGTCTTGGGCTGGCCACAGCCTTCCCTGTGCCTGAATTAACCAGCAGCAGGGAGTCCTGGACAGCAGGTGTCCTTCCAGGAAGGCATGTCGGTGGCTCTATCTGATGATGAGGCCACTGTGGCAGGGGTAGGGAAGCATGGCCAGAGGCCTAGCCTGGTCCCAGCTGCGGGCTGGGACTAAGAGCCAGCGGGGGTGTGACTGGGTCATGAGAAGGTGGCTTGTGGTGGTCTCAGGAGACAGCACCACGTGTTTCTCTATACTCTTGGGCTACTGCTGGTGAAGGAGTGGGCCCTTCACTCACCCAAACCCATAAATGAGCCTTCCTGCCATACTCCGCTGGGCTCTTTTTAGAGGAGAACGGGGCTAAGATGCAAACTTAACCTAGGTTCAATCCCTGCACTGCAAAGCTCCTTTCACACTAGACTGCAACTCTGTGCCTCAGTTCTTTCATCTGGTAAATGGGTAGAGTAACAGTATCTTTTAGAGGAAGCACTGTAGAAGTCATAGCTGTTGTGTTTCCATTTCAGACGGATGTCATCAACACCATGTGTGGTTACAAAACTATCGACAAGGAGGTAACATCTTTAAAATCCCTTTTCCCAGAAATGTTACTCTTCCTGTCCCACCCCCAGGGCGGTGGAGGGCTCTCTAGAGGAGGGGGCTCCTGGCTGCTCACATTTTCCAACACTCCTGATTGTGAACCAGAGCCAGGACTGCCAGACACAGAAGGGCTGAGGGAGTGCCACCTGTCAGGGTTTGCTAAGCTGCTACTCTGGGCTTGTCCGCATGAGGCCATGGTGCATGCTATGTGCCCAGCTCTCAGCCCCAGCTGGTCTTTGCCCTTGAAGCCACTGGTTTACGGGCAGTTGGCATCCAGGACTACTTGGGGGAGAGGAAATTCTCTGGGGGCTCCCCTTGGTCAGCTTCTGGGGTGACTTCTCTAGACTAGGAAAGAAGCTGGGGTCATGCGGAAGGGAGCTAAAAATGATGCCTCTGAGCAGTGGTTTTCAAAGTAGGGTCCCTGGTCCAGCAGCAGCTGCACCCCAGCATCCCAGCCAGATCTCATCAGTATTACACATTGTGGTGGGGGAGCAGATGATCTTGACTCAGTCTGAGATCCTTAAACCAACAGTGTTCTCAACCTAGCAGAGGCAATAGCCGTTCTGTCTAATAAATAGCAAATGTCCTATTTATAACCCTAAAATGAAATTCATAGATCCTATAACCTGTCTACACACCCAACTTCAGTCGCCACAATGATGTAACCAAGGTAAAGGATAAATAAATAATGCAATTTACAGCTATAGGACAGATGTCAACTTGTGAGAGCTCAGGCAGCAGTTAGATGTTGCAGAAGACACAAAGAAGAGGGATCCCTGAGATGGAGACACCTCCAGGGCCATCAGTGCCAGTCTTGGTGACTTGCATACCACTGGTGTCATTTTTGCCATTGATGTGTTGGTTTTTTTTTTTTTTAAATGGTGAACAGGTCTGGGCATGGTGACACTTGCCTTTAGTCCCTGGTATTCGGGAGGCTGAGGCAGGATGATCACTTGAGCCCAGGAGTTCAAGGCCAGACTGGGCAACATACGAGACCCTGTCTCAAATCAACCAAAAACTGAACAAGTCTTGGTAAGATTCTGAAAATAAGATACAGACCTCATCTGATATGCATGGAACCAAAGTATTCCAGATTTTTGAATATTTGCATTTGCCTAATGAGATCTCTTGGGATGGGGACTCCAGACTAAACATGAAACTCATTTATGTTTCATACACACCTTCAACACATAGCCTGAAGATAATTTTAGACACTTTTTAATAATTTTGTGCATGAAACAAAGTTTCATGGTATGGGATTTTCCACTTGTGGAAAATCTAATCATTCCTTAATTTACAGACTGGGGTTCTGGAAAGTTCATTGTAAATTAAAACCATGCAGAAAACACTGTCTTTCATATGGCCCTGGAGTTTGACTTTTGGCTCAGGATGGTATAGGCAGAGTTTTCACCCACGCCAATGCCTGGGGCATCTGGAAGCACGCAGGCAGGCAGCTATTTGAGGACTAGGACTGCCTGAGTTCTGCAGTCTTACTCCTCAACCCAGTCAGTGTTAGAGAACCATGGTCTAGGATCACCTTCCCATGTCACCTTTGAGAAGCTGAGGCCCAGAGTAGTGGAGGGACCGACCTGGTCATCCACTGGGTGGCAGCCAGGTGACACGCTCAGCCAGCTGCCGGCCTCCTCCTGTACAGCGCCTCAATGTACAGAATGTCATCTATGTGCGTGGCTGCACCAACGCCGTGCTCATCTGGTTCATGGACAACTACACCGTCATGGCAGGCCTCCTGCTGGGCATCCTGCTCCCCCAGGTGGGCAGGCTATGGGGTCAGCTGAAGGTGGCTGGGTGGTAATGGAGGAAATACTGAGAAGGCACTGGGGGTCGGAGGGGCATCCCTGGTAGGGCTGAGGGCTGGGAGGAGAGAACATATGACACTAGCATTGGTTGCTAAGCTCTTCCAAGTGCTTCATAGACACAGTCTCTGTGAGGGGGGTTGATTGTCATGCCCATTTTGCAGAGGTAGAAACTGAGGCTCAGGAAAGTGAAGTAATTTGCCTGAGGTCCCCTTGATAAGGTGTGGCAGGGCTGGATGGAGACAGGAGTCGAAGCATGGAGTTGCCATAGGGAGGTGTCTGGGAGGGGCAGAGGCGACCCTGGGCAGTCGCATAGTGCAGGGAGCAGTCTGCACTATGGGGATTTTCTAGGGTGCCCAGTGCCATAAGGGCTTCTGATGGGCTGCTTGGGTTTCTGGGGACTGGGGACTGCTGGAGGGGGCTGCCCTGATGCGCTCCAGGCTCTCACTGGATCTGCCCTCTCTTCTCAGTTCCTGGGGGTGCTGCTGACGCTCCTGTACGTCACCCGGGTGGAGGACATCATCATGGAACACTCTGTCACTGATGGGCTCCTGGGGCCTGGCTCTAGGTCCACCGTGGAGGCCACGAGCACAGGATGCTACTATTGCTATCCCAGTTAGGGTGAGGATGAGACAGGGACTTAAGCACGATGGCCTGGACAGCACCTCCCAGTCACTTGAGTTGGACAGGACTGCGCTGCGGCCCCTCTGCCCTCACTCAGCATTGACCAAAGCCCAGGCTGTGCGCACCTGTTTGCGACAGCAAGGGCCAGTGCCCTCAGGGGCAGCCTGAGCCTCCCCCAAAGGGCTTCCCCCGGCCACACGCTGTGGATTCTGTGTCTATACTGCCAGGCCTGAGGAACAAGGATGTGCCTCTCCAGGCCTGGGCTGTGGGGAAAGGGGAGCTCAGGCCCACTTTATTTCTGGCATTGACTTGGCCAGTAGTCATTATGCCCCTGTAAGGCACAATTCTGCAATGATTTGTAAGTGGGGAGAGAAGAATGGTTTGCCTCATGAGCCAGGAAGGGCAGGGTACAGCCCTGGCCCCAGTGTCCTGGCCATACCTGGAGTCAGGTTGGGCCATTTCTCAGCTTCCCAGGTGCCTTGAGCCCTCTGTCAGGGCCGTTGTTTGTTGGCCCATTTTCTATGTGATTTTTGTAACATTCATCTTTTGCATAGTTAGAGGAATTTCTGACGACTCAAAACTGGACATTTCCCCTCCCACCCCATTCTCGTCCTTCCAAGTCAGAGCACTAATCAAACAATAAAAACTTGTTTGGTCTTTTATTTGTGTTGTTTTTATGGGGTGGGGGTGAAAGAGGTCCTGGCCTGGACTTGGACATCCCTTATTGGTGCAAGAATTGAAGGAGGACCACCCTGGGTGATGGTTTGGTACAGTTTGGGCCAGGGAATACCTCAGAGGCAGAGATGACACACCTGTTCTACAGGGTGATGTGTGGCAGGAGGCCCCACCTCTGGGAGCTGGGGGAGATGAGGAAGTAGGAGAGGCAAGGGTGTGGGGAGAGCAGTGTCTATAATTCCGCATGTGACTTTCGAAACTGCCATAGTGAGCAGTCTACTGTACCAGGGACTGCCGGGTGCCGATCTCCCCCTGCTGGAGACAGCAGAAACTGCAGGCATCAGTCCACCCAAGCTTCCTCCCCTCCAAGACTTGGGTTCTAGATTCGCTGTGAGTTCTTAGTAATCATGGTGATAGTTCCCAACCTATGGATGAGAAGTGTCCCTAACATTCAGAAGTTAAGTGGCCCTGTGCTTGGTGTGCTCTGTGGACAAGCCTCAGTGTCATGAGGTATAAGGAAGGGCAGGGAGGGGATAATGTGCCCCGTTAAAGGATGAAATAATGTACCAGGGCTAACACATCACAGAGCATACTTTGTGGCGGGAACTTGTCTAAACTTTTAGCACAAATGCTAACTCCTTTAATCCTCACAAGTGTATGCTAATTCTTGTTATCTTATTTTGTTGATGGGGAAACTGAGGCCCCCAGTGGTTAAGTAGCTTGCCAAGACGTGTGGCTGGTCACGCAACCCCTCTGCTTTGCTTCTTGCCTCCTTGCATGCACACACACTATGAGATGTGCAAAACCGGGCATGGCTGGGGCTCTCAGTGCCACTGCTGAGCCTCTGTCTGGTCCCTATGTTGACCTGAACACAAGGCCAGGTCAGGCTCATGGCTCAGTGTCTCTGACCTCAAGGATTCTCTCTGTGCCCGGAGGGAAGAGAGCAGCAGCCTTTGGGGACAGCAAGATGGCTGAGACTCTGAGTGTTGGGGGGTGGGTTTGGGATTGAGCTGAGCCTTCTTATAGAAGTCACAACACTCACCAGGCTTGGTGGCTCACGCCTGTAATCCTAGCTACTCAAGAGGCAGAGATCAGGAGGATCATGGTTCGAAGCCAGCCTGGGCAAATAGTTCTCAAGACCCTATCTTGAAAAATCCATCATGAAAAAGGGCTGGTGGAGTGGCTCATGGTGTAGGCCCTGAGTTCAAACCCCAGCACTGCAAAAAAAAAAAAAAAGTCATGTCATTTGTCTCACAAGAAAGTGAAATGGGACATGTGGAGAGGGAGAGGGCTTTGCCAGCCTGGGACAGGGACTCCCCCAGTGTGGCACTATTCATGCTCCAGTGACATCTCTTGCCACCTTCTGTGAGGATGGCAAATGATCCTACCTTGTCCTACCCCATAGCACGCATAGAAAAGGACAGTATTTGTGAAACTAGAGATTTGCAGGCTTTAATTTTGTACTTTTTGCTATATAATTATAAGAAAAAATGCATTAGGAAGACTTTGTATAAAAATTCCCAAAACAATATTCTCAAAATTTATTTTAGCAGTTTGAGATACAGTCAACACAAAATAAACTGCACATGTATAAAGCGACAAGGGTAGATATCAATGAAACCAATACAATCAATGGAATGAACATGTATCCATCACCCTAAAAGCTTCCCTCTTGTCCCTTTGGAATCCAAACATTATAGCCCTCCCTGCGCCACCTGCCCCTCCCCAGCAACCTCCATCTGCTGCCTCTATAGATTACTTTGTATTTTCTAAAATTTCACAAAAGTGGACTCACACAGTATACACTCTTGTTTGGTCTGGCTTCCTTCATTTGACAATTATTTTGAGATACAATTGTCTTGTATCATGTATTAGTAGTTTTTTCCTTTTTCGTGGCCGAGTAGTGCTCCATTGTGTGGATGTACCATAGTTAGGTTATCCATTTACCTATTAATGGACATTTGTGTTGTTCACAGTTTTGTTCTTGTTATTGCAAATCAGGCTGCTGTGAACATTTGTGTACATATCTATAAAAGAATATACTTTTATTTCTCTCGAATAAACATCTAGGAGTGGGATGGCTGAGTCACATGGTAAGTGCATATTTATTTGAGAAACTGTCTAACTATTTTCCAACATGGGTGCACAATTTTTTGTGGGTCTGGGATTTGAATTCAAGGCTTTGCAACTGCAAAGCAAGCACTCTAAGCTTGAGCCACACCTCCAGTCTATTTTACTCTGGTTAAATATTTTGGAGATCGAGTCTCTCGAACTGATTTCTGGGGCTGAGCTCTGCCTTCTGAGCAGCTAGGATTACAGGCGTGAGCTACCGGCGCCTGGCTGGATGCACAGTTTTATATCCTCTCCAGCAGTGTGTGAGAGCTCCAGTTCCTCTGCACCCTTGCCTCAGCATGTGGTGTGGTCAGTCTTGATTTTGGTCATTCTAGTGGATGTGTGGAGATAATGTCACTGGGGTTTTGAATCACATTCTTTTTGATGGGGCAGTATTGGGGTTTGAATATTTTAATCCAGGCCAGCTTGGACCCTGCTCCCTCCTATTTTATGACAGGTGTGTGTCACCATGCCCAGCTTTTTTTTTTTTTTTCTGTTGAGATGGGGGTCTCGCAAACTTTTTTGCCTGGACTGAACTGTAACTGTGATCCTCCCAATCTCAACCTCACATATCTTGGGGATGACAGATGTATGCCACT